TATCTCCTATCTGTTCTTAGATTGCGTTCTCTAGACCCTTCTTTTTTAGAGCCATAGTACTGGCCACTCCATATAGCTTGCTGGATTGGGCTTTTCCTTTCCAAGCCTCGGAAACCTAAGCCTGCATAGGGCCGTAGTGGCACTACATATGTACGGCAGTTTCTTCCGCCTCCTAGCAGAACCTGCACGGGCACAAATCTAAGAGGTGAGCAACTATTAGAATTTATCGTTTAAACAAACCTGAATATACTTAATGTAGGGAATACTCCAACATTTGTCACTAGGGTCAGACAGGAGATGTTAGACATAACACTTTGTAGTCCAAATATTGACCATATTATCAGGAATTGGAGAGTTTCCAATGAACCCTCTCTCTCTGATCACAGAATCATAATGTTTGACGTACAAGGATCGAACCACTTCGTATAGAAACCCCAGAAATACAAACTGGGAAAAATACACAACCAAACTGCAATGCAACCTCGATCATTTTAGCTGCAAGAATATACGTGAAGTAGAAGAAAGCCTTCAGATCCTTAACGGAGCAATCATGGAGGCATACGAATCCAGCTGTCCCGTGAAAAAAACAAGTTAACAAAAATGGTTGCCCATGGTGGAACAGTCACCTCTCACGAGTTAGATCCGAGGTTCTTTGGCTTTTCAACAAAACCAAACGAGACGGAGAATGGCAGGGCTACACCGAAAGCACCGGCGTATACAAGGGGGGGGTAATGGGGGTAATTACCCCCCCCCCCCAAGACCGTCGCGATGAACAATAAATATGTACCCTCAAATAATCTATCTTTCATACTTTTATACGTTATACACTCTTCCTATGTAAGGTTATGTTTGAAAATCACGGCCGGCGGCCGTTAATTAGATATATACTCCTGGACAAAATTATCGCACCACTGCTTATGTAATGCTTATGTGCAGTGGTGCGATAATTTTGTCTAGGGGTATATTTTAACACCTTTTCGATTTCAATTTGGGTCATGCTATAGGGCCGGTTTCTCAATAGCAAGTCACCTCCGGGTTAACCATAACTCCAGGGTAAAGCTTGCAACTGGACACGTTTAACCTGTAGCCCAAGTTTTGAGAAATATCGCATCGAAATTTTATTCGAATTTGACTGACAGCAATGTAGATTAAAGATTAAATGGGAAGCGTTCAAAATCATATCAAATTACGTATGCAATATTTTTCAAGAATTGGGCCCCTGGAGTTAAAACCAACCCGGATGTGACTCGCTATTGAGAAACCGGCCCATAGTAAGATAACAGTACAGTATGACGAAAAAACTATTATAGAACAGTCAGACTTCTGCGACGTGACTGCGTTCTAAAGGCTGACTTGTTTTCTAGTTTGCACAGTGTCTGCACTGCACTGCCCGCATACGCACTGAGTGTATTCGTGTATTTTTCTACTAGTTTGCATGAGAAAGAGATAAAAATACATTTTTCGCACTGGTTCTACCTATAGACGTTGTATAGAATCCGCTATAATTTAAAAGTGTTCGGGGAACCCCAGAGTTTGGTTTCGTTATTTGTTGGTAGTACAAAAAAATTGTTTTGAAAGCTCAAAATAAACGTTTTCGAGCGTGGCACCCGGTAAAAAAATCGTCTCCGGCGGTGCCTGCGGCAGGCTGGCCTGGGCTGATTACCCCCCCAGACGCATGAGCTGGATACGCCAGTGACCGAAAGGCTGACTGAGTACAACAAAGAAATAAGGAAGGCCAAGCGGAAAAACTTCGGAGACTTTTGTGAATCTATCACAGAAACACCATCAGCAACCAGATTATACAAAACCCTGGCGAAAGGCAGGACGCAAGGACCATTGACACTTAAGAAACTAGACAGTTGTTACACAAATACAGACGTCACTATTCCGAAGTTGTTCAGACCTATATGCCTCCATCGTTTTTGCTTAAAACAGCTAAGAAAGATGTAAATAACTACATCAGAACAAGTGTTTTAGAAAAGACGCCACATCCTCCTAGGCAGCATGCTTACAGAGCGGACAGATCAACAGAAACCGCTTTACTTGAACTCACCGACAGCATCCAAAGTATATTGCGTAATAAAGAAGTAGCCGTCTGCGCCTTTTTGGACATAGAGGGGACATTTGATAACACCTCTCATGAGTCAATAAAGAATGCGCTCGTCAAAAAAGGAGTGGACAAAACCACATCCACCTGGATGTGTGAAACGCTAGCCACCAGAACTGCAGAAACTGACGTGGGTGAACAAACCATACAGGTCACCACCGCTAGAGGATGTCCGCAGGGAAGGGTACTCTCACCTTTGATGTGGAGTCTAGTGGTTGACGACCTCTTAAATTTATTGACTGATCAGGGCTACACCTGCTTTGGATACGCCGATGATATTGTCATCATGACTAGAGGCAAATACGAAGAAATACGCTGCGACCTTATAGAAAAAGCACTTCCAATCCCGAAGGAATGGTGTCAGACAGTGGAGCTGAATCTAAACTCAGCAAAAACCACACTGGTACAAAAAGAACGAAACTCCCAAACTTGAGAAGCATTCGCCTCGATGGAAGCAGACTTGATTTGAAAAAAGAAGTTAAATTCTTAGGAATAACCCTAGATTCTAAACTTCTCTGGAACCGACATGTAGAGAACACAAAAAACAAAGCAATCTCGGACTCATGGTCTGCAAAAACATTGCGGATAAAACATGGGGTTGTAAACCATCAATCCCAAGATAGATGTATACCATGATAGTGAGACCTATCATCACGTACGAAGCGGCAGCCTGGTATAGCCAAACCCAGTTAGTAACAGCTAGGATAACCCTTGGAAAAGTGCAAAGACTTGATGTTTCTGTATAACAGGAGCAATGAAATCATTCCCAATCGCGGCACTAGAAGTCATTTTAGACCTCACACTACTCCACATAATAGTGAAGCGGGTTGCCAGTGGATCATGTCCGAGACTAGAGAAGATAGGTCTACAAAGGAGAACGCACCTTGGCAGAACTTGTCCTCTCTCAAACTGTGCACACCTCATGGATCTACCGAAAGACGTGATTGTTGATAAATTCAGTTTCGAGAAAAACTTTTCCATCGAACTAAGTACAAAAAACAGATGGAACATGGAATCCATCCTTAAAGCAAAGACCATCAAAAGGTACATACGGTTCCAAAACTGCTGAAGGAACTGGAGCCGGAGTATTCGGGCCACGGACCAAGTACTTGGAGCCAATGGGTAAATCACCAAGCAGATTTCAAGCGGAATTTCATGCGATCGAAAGATGCGTGCAGTTCAACCTGAGCAGAAGTTATCGGAAACGAGAGATTGTAATAATATCTGACAGCCAAGCAGCTTTCAAAGCATTGAGATCCCCGGTCATCAATTCTAAAATAGTATGGAAATGAAATGAGCTGGGAAAACAAAACAAAGTAATTCTCCTCTGGGTGCCCGGGCACATAGGCGTCGAGGGCAACGAATGCACAGACAGACTCTCAAGGACGGGAGCGTGTACTCCTTTCACTGGGCCAGAACCATTTTGCGGTTTCGGAAATGCGCACCTCCAAGAAATACTCAAAAAAAGAAGAGAATCGGCTAGAACAGCTACGACAGGCTAATGTCTATTGGGCAACTGCAACCGGAAAAGATCATAACTGCTGGTCAACCTCAGCAAGAAAAGTCTCAAGACTTAAGAAACACCTACAGAAGTTGGGGTTAGAAGAAGGTGGCACCTGCAGATTCTGTGAAGACGCAGAAAAGACACCTCACCATTTTCTACTGAACTGTGATGCCGTTATTTGCTCAAGGATGAAGAACCTGGAAAGTGTCCTTATACAATTGGAAGACATTCCAGTCCTGGAACCGCTAGACATCCTAAAATTCCTGAGGGATCTAGGACTGGAGGGGCTGCTTTGAGCGGGAAACCCGAACTTAGCAGCAGAAGGAGGGTTACAATAAATCAAACCTGGTCGCGGTGCAACTGACACCTCCAACACACACATACACACACACCTACACAACCTGCACAGGCTATCCTCTGCCACGCTCATTCTCTACAGCTGCTTGTTTGCAATACCCTCTCAATTGGCCAACCATTATCCCAACAATCTTGCAGCAGTGGCTAAGTTGGTCCGCTATGAACTTGGGCGAGTAGGATTGCCAGTTGCATATGGTATGCGGAAAGTTCCTACGCGTGAGTGCGTTCATTAGTGATGTTGGATCGTTATTTCGTCTAGAAACATACCTAGCGCCACATATTTGTCATCAATTGACTTTGTCAGGAGTCTGTTTAGATCATCCACTGCGGAGTATGTGGAATTTCCTGTTAAGTAGTGGTAGGCATACTGGCGACCGCTCAGAAGATAGTGTTAGTGTGTGGTCACTGATGATAACCTTAAGCGATGTATGCTCTTAAAATATTGCATAGCTGTGGCAATATTATGTCCTGACCCTTCTGGGGCAGCGCTGGTTATATTCCGTCCGGGCCTGGCAATTTAAAGGGGTGCGGAACTCGCTTATGGCCCATTTAAGTCTGTGGTCCGAATATAACCAGGGTTGTGGTTTCGCAGTCTGAAAGTAATTAAATTACTCTGGTTCCTGGAAAAGTGGTTTCTTTTGGACCTCGGACATATTTGTTTTCCCCAAGTAACCGGAATCTTCAGTAACTATCTGTCAACCGATTCGATTACTTTGGTTATATTCGCACCATAGCCTTAGGATATGTTACCAGCTCCTTTGCTCCTGTGACCTGTCCAATGAATTGGAGTAGAAATATTATTTGAATTTATAATTTTGACTTATATCTTTCCTACGTAAATTATACTTTAATTTAAGTATTCGAATCAATTTTACCTACCAATTTAAAATATCTATACATCATTCTATAAAAGAAAAATGTAATATTTCCGAGCGCAAGTTAATTTTAATTGATTTTCAATTTGGCAACTGCGGGTTTTCCTAAATGTGCCAAATATACGTATCAAAGAGTAAATATCTGGAATTTGCTTACCTCACGTATATGGAACTATGAAATGCAGCTGGATTGTCCTGTTCACTGAAACTTGGCAGAGAGCCTTGTAATATCGCCAGTCGAAGTGCTAGCAATATACCAGTCTAGAATAATTATTGTTAGAAAAGTTATTAATCCTAATGATTTTATGTTTGCCCCACCCATTTTTAGATTTAGTGGAAATTTACTTACCGAGATCAGCACTTTTGTAGCCCTGGAACAAAACTCCAAAGTTTCCGGATTCCATCGAACCACGGTAAATGTTCTGAAAAATAAAGGAAAAAAAAAAAAAAAACAGTGAAATAAATCGAACTTTTCGAAAAGTTTTTCCATTACGGCGACCTGAAAAATTTGCATGTATTTACATTGTTAACAATTGCCTGACGAGTTTTTCAAATATAATTTGAATTTTTTGTCAGAAGAACAACCATCTTTAATAACTTCTTGATATAATTTATTTGATTGTAAGAATTTTTTTTAAGGTGAAAAGTCTTACCTTTTAATATTTGGCCATTGCAAGTAAAAATCGAATCCTAAATTCAACAGAAAGACCATTATTCCCGTTTCTTTGGCAAGCATACTTATAGCACCCATAATCACACTAGTCCATACATGACATCGACCTTCTGAAGAATGCCTGAAATATTTGAATACCAAATAGTATATTGTAGTACATAAATAAATAAACATTAGCAATTTAAATTTATAGAAGTTTGGAGGTAAATTGCAACCTCTCGAAAAATTTATTGGGTAGACTATAACTATGCAACTCCTTGAAAACAGAAGGTCGAAATATTACCGGCTAATCCACGAACCGCTTTTAGATAAATTCTTGCTGAAGAAGGTGATAATTAATTTACTCCTATTCGGACGAAGTAGAATCTGGAAATAATTTTTATTCTGAAGTAAAACAATTCAAATCAGTAGAACTGGACCCGCATTAATCTTATAGGATCCGCTAAAAGGAAGACATATTTATGTGGCTCTAACCCCAAACACTAAAATAAATTATTACAGTATTTTAGTAGAGGGTATGGAGCAAAATATTAATGAGTAGGATTTGGAGTCAACATCAAATTTATATTCATTGCAGATCCTTTTCGAGACGAGGAGGGACTTAAACCGGATATCTTTTTACCATCAACATTGATGACTTGACCATTTATCTTTTGTGCCCCATAATCCAATTATGAATATAGGTACATGGTATTATCTTTGTTACCATCAAATAGAATTAAAGTGCCACACAATATTGAGTTGCGTAGCTTTCAGGAATGAATAGGTATTTGAGTGACTTTCAAGACATTTCTAATGGGTTGTGGAAAGGAGTTAAAACAGGGTATTAAGACCGATCCCAGAAAAGTTTAAATCAATACATGATCTATTCAATTTCAAGGCACAGAAAGGTTAGGGATAATAACAAGATGAGATTATTTTTTTGCATTCTTTTCTGTAAAACCACCAACTTTATGCAGCAACTTTTCTATGAATCCAAAAACCATAGATTTGCCCACAAAAAAAAAGTTTTCCAATGAATGAAAACAAAGTTGCGTCAACTAGCGCACGTGTTTGAGGAATTCTGTGCATGACCCAACATGTTTTCAATAGCATTTTACAAAAAGCCATTTCAAAACTTACTAATTTAGCTTTTAGGGTCAATTTTAAACAAAAACTTTTATAAAACCAGAAAGTGTTTTTTCAGACAGAAATTTTAGATTCATTTTTGCGGAGGGATTTTTTTATGGACAGCTGAATGAACCCGTAAAACCTTATTGTTTAGAGAGCTGCACACAGAAAACTCGACATTTTTTGGCAATTCACGAGGTGAAATTCCGAGTTGGATCATAAAACTCCAAATGATACGATACACACATTATTAGGTGACTTTTTTTATAATAATTTGACTCTTGCAGTTGTTTGAATTTTATTCCGGCTCGGCGCATTAAAACTTTTGAAGTTTCGCGATAAATTCAGTACTTTCATTTGAAATTCTCATTAGACTCTTGATTCCTTGCAATAATGGTTTATCCTAGAGCTGCTCCTTGTAATTTTTCAATTCCATTGCTTGTTGTAGGTTTTTAATAGCCACCAGTTATGCGCCTTTTTTATTGAACCTTGTAGGTTCTATTTCAACAAACCAGATAGTTTGTTTATTTCAGAGAGGGCGCATTTAGTCCACCTTGGGTTCCGTTTCTTCATTCAGTTAACTGTGACTCTATTTTGTGCTATCATCTTTGACCACCTTCCCATTTTAATCAGAAAATTTTATTCATGCTCTTCCAAAACATTCTTATTCTTTCTAAAATTACTTTCATCATTATTCGTATACCTTGCTAACCGAACAATAATGAATTTTTTTCTTCTTCTTTTTGTGCAAAATCAAGAATTCCTAATGTAGAAGCAACATATAGGTATAGTTTTAATTTATGATCAGTCCTATTATGTTATTTTTATTTGAATGATGTAAAATTCGCTGGAGGTTGCATTGAATTATTATTATTATAGAGCATTTATTGTCAGATTCTTACAATGAGTCAGTAACTCTTTCACAGACAAAGGTTGAAGTACATGTGTTGTGAGATCTCTCAGATAATTCAGAGCTACCAACTACTTGAAGCAGTTGAGGCCGACGTCCTTCTAGTTATTATTATTATTATTATTACTATACCAACATGAGCAGCCTGGCCAATGACAGCTGCTGTGTTTTTCTTTTATGGTTAGGTCATTTATAGCGGCTTTAAAGAGTCTAAGGTTTTCGTTCTATTGTTGAGAATAGCAGAGGTTACATGTAATGGATATAGTCCATTTTGGAACGTTGTAGATCTCGATCCAATGTATTTTTGAAGAAGTTCCTGGATTGTCTCTTCTTGAAGTGCATTCTACTGGTACACCACTCTGCTTGAGAGGAAGAATCCATTTTTCTTTAGAAAGCTTGAGTGAGTGGCCTTCTAACTGAGGGTTCTTACTTCTGATGAAGATGTCGAATTCAAGGTCTTGTGAGTAGTGGCTAAGGATGATACACACCATAACGAAGTTTCAGTATTTTTCATAAAATAAGTGCGCCTCCCGCTTCGATTTAATTTATTAATTGCGTGACTCAATTTTCTATATTCACAGCGGTATTAATTAAAATCCTCTTTATATTATTCTTAAATAATAAATACATTTTCATGATTTTGCGTGACCTCGCCTGGAATCTACCGATCCCAGCGGAGTTTCGGCCGGTATCAGCTAATTTGCATATTTCCGTGTACCCCGCCGCGTCCCTGACCCATCTTTTAGGCTATAAATTGGACAGAATTTGCTGGTAAAGGACAGTCTTCAACCGGTCTCCGAAAAGCCAGCCAACCTGACAGCAGTGATAGCAACATCACCACTAGAACCGTCCGAGGTAAGCCAACCCGCCGTGACCACAGTAGGGGTCAGTTCTTGCAGGGTCGCGATTTACACTAGAAGGTAAAAATCAATTATATAAGCTTCACTAAGATTTCCGCCCGGTAACTTGAACGGATGAATCTTTTCCTGCAATAGGCGTTTCGCACGGTACCTTGGACAGGTAGTCTCTATTGCTCTTAGAACTTCGGCCGGTACCTGGTTCTGTATGAGATATTTTCCCCTGGAACCTAGGACAGGTATTTCTCTCCGAAGCTTATATGGTATCTCTAATACGCTAATCGCTACCGTTTACTTTTCCGGACACGCTTTCCACCGCCCGCATGGTCACGCTTTTACCGCACGCACATAATTTTCATTCATTTAATTATCTCTCTCTCACGCATCCCTGTTCATTCTTTCACAGGGTTGATTAAGGCTTTTCCTGTAAATATTTTCCGGTTATACAGTGTTATATTTATTTAAATTTATCGACTGTGGTCTTTTTCTTTTCCCCAAACCAAGGGTTTCAGAAAATTTCACAGAACAAGCGTCTGTGACCCCTGGATTACCGTTTCTACACTGTAACAAGCTACCTGGTGCACGTGGGCCCTCAACCGCTTTAATCCTGAGGGTGGTGCCCAAGGTTAACCGACTTACACTGAACCCGCGTCGATTACGCAAAAAAACTGCCTTACAAAATTGGCGCCCGAGCAGGGACCGTAAATACTTTTGCTTGCCGTAGAAGTTTAACCGTACTACTAGGACCGCTCACCATACCATGCCAGAAGGCACCGGCAACAATGGAAATCCACCGGTTACCAGCACACCGAATACCAGTGCATCAACCGTGGTTACAACCAGTTCATTAAATCCGCCCGGGAATATACCAATACCCACGTACCCCGTTTGGTACGACCCCAACGACGGCCGTGTGATTTGGGTGTATCTATTGAAGAAAGACGAACTGATTCCTGAATTACAAAAGTTTGGACTGGACACTACAGGTACCGTTGACATATTGAAAAGGCGACTGGTTACATTCTATCGCCAGGGAAAAGCCTCACCGGCACCAACCACCATGGCAGGATTTAACTTTCCGACCGGTTCCGGCACGCATAGAATGCCTGCAAGTAGTACGGCTGCCCTGACTCAGAACAGTACTGTTAATACTATGGTACCCGGTAAAACTCTGGTGCTCAACCCGCCGATACCAAGCATAACCATTGACCGACCGCTGCCTTCTCCAGTCGCATACGGATCTTCAGGAATGGCACTGAAAGTATACAAATGGAATATCCATTTTAATGGACGAACCGACCCAGTGACATTCATAGAGAGGCTACAGGAAATTTATGCCTCCCAGGGGATACTAATAGACCGTTTATTGCCGCATATTCCTGAGCTTTTACAGGACGACGCTTCTTTATGGTACCGAAATAACCGAGCCCACTGGCAAATCTGGGACGAATTTCTGCAGGATTTTCGCAGCTTTTATTTCCCGATCAACTATGCCGCCGACCTGGAGATCGAAATTAGCCGCCGGCTCCAACAGCCGAACGATCCAACCCACTGGTATATTACAGAGTTGCAAACCCTCATCAGGAGGCATGGAAACATAACCCCGGATCAAGAGCTTCAATGGTTGTACCGCAATCTGTTACCTGAATATCGACAACATGTCCGGAAAACAGACATTACCGACGTGGTCTCACTTTCACGGGTTATCAGAGAAATTGAGCTTCTGCTGTCCGAGTTCAAAACAACCCATACTTCATCAAGGAGTCCGTATCCAACATCCCGTGATATCTCCTCCACCGATAATCCGCCTAAAAACCGGACACAAATAGAGTCCCGTTATCGACGTGCAGAAGGGTCCCAACAAACCCCAAGATATGACCGACCTTCACAACCAGGAAATTACCGAGATAGAAACCCAACCAATGAAAATAGCGGCCCTAATGCCAGTATTTGCTAGAGGAGTAGGCTCCCGGGACACCGTCGTGACAACTGCAGTCAACGGCCGCGCATGCTCTGCTCGCGACGCGGCAATGTCGGACTATTGTCTAGAGACTGTCGCTGTCGTCAGGAGGAAGCAGTGGAAGCACCTTCCCGGGAACCTCACCCGGTCCGTGATTTCCGCTCTCCCTACCGAAACCGTATGGTATCCGTAGTAACTCAGTGCTGCCGACACCACAGATCGTGTCCAGCATGTGGCTGCCCCTACGGCTTGAGGCGTTATTAGACTACACCATGAGAAGGAATGGATTGGGCCGACGTCCGAGATATATCCATAGAGTTTTTATTTGATGTTATTATCAATTTATTTATATATTTTTTTTGATTTTCAGATATGCGTTTGGCGGGAGAGGGAGAGGTTTCTTTTTGAATATGATTTATTTTTAATTGTAGGTACCGGGATGGGCTAGCTGACATTGAATTTGAGGCTAGAAAAATATTTGAGTAAATATTTTTTTTAAGAAGGGGGGGTGTGTAACGAAGTTTCAGTATTTTTCATAAAATAATTGCGCCTCCCGCTTCGACTTATTTGAATTATTCATTGCGTGACTTAATTTTCTATATTCACGGCGGTATTAATTGAAATCCTCTTTATAATTATGCTTAAATATTAAATACATTATCATGATTTCGCGTGACCGCGCCTGGAATCTACCGATCTCAGTAGAGTTTCGGCCGGTATCAGCTAATTTCCATATTTCCGTGTACCCCGCCGCGTCCCTGACTTATCTTTACGGCTATAATTGGGCAGAATTTGCTGGTAGAGGACAGTCTCCGAAAAGTCAACTAACCTGACAGCACTGATAGCAGCATCACCACCAGAACCGACCGAGGTAAGCCAACCCGCCGTAACCACAGTAAGGGTCAGTTCTTGCAGGGTCGCGAATTACACCAGAAGGTGAAAATCAATTATATAAGCTTCACTAATATTTTCGCCCGGTACCTTGGACGGGTAAATTTTTTAATCTTTTCCTGCAATAGGGGTTTCGCCCGGTAACCTGGACGGGAAGTCCTTATTGCTCTTAGAACTTCGCCCGGTACCCTGGATGGGTAGTTCTGTATGAGAGATTTTCGCCTGGAACCTAGGACAGGTATTTCTCTCCGAAGCTTATATGGTATCTCTAATCCGTTAAATGCACGATTCGAGAACTGACGCTTATGTAGTTTTAGGTGGTGTCCGTACATTTGCTTTGCTTGGATCAGCGGAGTTTGTTTTACCGCTTTATTGCTATTTAACATTTGCCGTTAGCGTTACCGGACTTTTAGAGCTACCGGAAGGCTGACCGTTCCGTTATCGCTACCATTAACTTTTCCGGATACGCTTTTCGCCATGCGGGCTTTTCACCGCCCGCATGGTCACGCTTTTACCGCACGCACATAATTTTCACTCATTTAATTATCTCTCTCTAACGGATCCCCGTTCATTCTTTCACAGGGTTAGTTAAAAGTTTTCCTGTAAATATTTTCCGGTAATACAGAGTGTTATATTTATTTAAATTTATCGACTGTTGTCTATTTTTTTCCCCCAAACCAAGGTTTTTTAGAAATCTTCACAGAACAAGCGTCTGTGACTCCTGGATTACCATTTTTTCACTGTAACAGGCTACCTGGTGCACGTGGGCCCTCAACCACTTCAATCCTGAGGGTGGCGCCCGAGGCAAACCGTTAGGTGAACCGACTTACACTGAACCCGTGTCGATTACGCAACAAAAGCGCCTTACAACACTACTACTATAGGATAGCCTATCCTCATAAGGCCTGTGTGGAACAAATCTCCCCCTTCCTTCTCCCCTCCCCACGCCAAATCACCAGTTGTGACATAGGCAGCATGTTATTTCTCGCCTTGTTTTGAACAGCTGACGACTCAGTTATGACGTCGGAAATGGTGGCATACCAATATGGCGGCGATTACCAAAAACGAGGCCGATAAGCAATCCTGTAGGTGTGTATCATCCTTGAGTAGTGGCTACTAAGGTTTCAATGATTTCACTCCTTTCTCGCCTAGTTTCAAGTGTAGTTAGGTTCAGGCGTTCGAGTCTTCCTGGGTAGGGTAAGTCTCTTATTTCAAATGGAAGTTTTGTGTCTCTGCGCTGCGTCCTTTCCATTAGTTCAATGTCCTCAGCAAAATATGTAGCTCCAGATGCTATGGCAATATTCTAGTAGGCATCTTATGTATGTTCGATAGAATTTATCGATTGCAGATAGGGATCTTTCACTGACTGATTCTTTAAAAAAGGAGTCTGATGCTTTTCCCTATGCTGCAGATGTGCGCCTCCCACTTAAAGTTACTTAATATAGTCACATCCAGGTCTTTTTGCTCTGTTACTTTTCTAACTGGCTCTCCGTTTATGTGGTGAGTTATGCTGGGGTTGCTAGTCCCTATGTGTAAGACTGAGCATTTTGTTCGAGTTAAGCGTCAGTTGCTAATCCTTACTTCAGTGTTTTGTGTCATCAGCATAGAAGCTGATTTTTGTCTTTATTTAAGAGTACAAGTCACTGATTTAGGTTGAAAAAAGTAGTGGCTTGAGTACAGAATCCTGAGGAACGCTACTCAGCACACTTTTCATTGGGCCTCACTCTACACGTGCGGGCTTGCAAGAAACATGAAATCCAGCCCAGTAGGTTCCAAATCGCTCTCCCACTTATGCAAAGTTGGATAGTATTTTATCTAAAATCTACCTAATACGATTTTCAAACATACTCTAATGCTGATTTACAGCACGGCCTAGGAACTCTATCTTTAAAATCCAGCCAAAATTTCCCAGAGAGAAACTTTCAAGTATATGTATGTGTATCTGAGATCCACGCGTAGAATATAAATATAAATCAAGACTATAAGGCAACACGTGGCCATGAATATTTGATTAGACTGAACCGTGTTTTCAGATATATAAAATGGTCTCGAGTCAGCGAAACTGGATGTGAGGGTAATGATAAAAGAGCGAGGATACACCGGTCTTTTGCTTCTTATACATGACATAATTTAATATCGCATTTTTCTTTTTATAGTGAAACTGTAAATATGGAAGGATTTTTATTTTTTGACGGGATTTAATTGCGCTATTCTGGATAGCCATAAACCGTGTGGAAACCGGGTTCAATATGCCGCTACACGTTCGACTTAATTAATGGTTTTTTGGGAGATCCCAATACCCAAACGCAATTAAAAAGATTTATTGCCTTCACAGAGTTTTTGTCTTTTTAAGGATAACATATTGGTGAGATCGTTAGAGATAAGTGCTTCAGGAGGCGATATAGGAAGAAAAGGCTCGTTAGCTAAATTACATTCTCTAATTTTTTCTATTTAGGTATCAGACAAAACAATAAAATAAAAACTTACCCATGATAGGCCAGCAGTGATAAGAGAAAAAAGACACAGGCGAGTACATCTGCTCTACCTACAATTCCAGTAACCTGTAAAAAAAGTTTACTTTTATGTTCAAATATGTTATGTTTCTAGTTGCTTCGTATAGAATAAATACAGACAGCTTCTTTAGTTAGCCATAAACCTACTTCCCAAGCTCCAAATAACCACAAAGGGATCCGAGGAATTTAATCCGATTGTTCTTGAAATAAACTCTCTTTACCATCGTTTGGGGCTTTCTAACTAACTAACCCCTATGTGTTCGTCAAAAAGGCAAAATTGATAATTGCTTTTTGCTTTTACGACGACGTCCCCATAAATACCATCATTCGGCTGGAGAAAATATGCCCGCCGAGATTATTTTACAGCCCTTTTTTTCTCGGCTTTCGCTAATAAAATAAGAAGATTGGGCTTGTTTAGTACATTCATTTTGTTTGTGGTAAAGGGAAGACGTAAAAGAAACATAAAAATTAGTTTCGCCTTTCAAAAAACAAAAAAATGTCGATTAGATAGAGGAGCTAATTCTACACGGAATAATGACTCTTTTTATCTCTTTGTAGAGGCACGGGCCTCTCAGGCTTCAGACTTAAAGATTGGGGACAATGGGTTCATAGAGGGCTGAACATGGGACATGCAATGACCTGGACTGATACTATCAGACAGGACCCCCTTCTCACCGGAAGGGATGCAATGCTAAAAACTTCAGTCCCCCCTTGACAAAACAAGGTAGTAATCCTTGCAAGGGGCGACTGGTTAAAGCCTGACCCGGGTTTCCTCAAGCCAAAGGGGTTCATCCAGTATATACAGTCGGGTCTCTGATGGAAGGGGCTGGTGGTTAAACCTGAGGCGAGAATCAGTCTTGCACTCGGTCGATACCCAACGGAAAACCAGACTGAGTTCTGCGTAAAAGGGTATTACGGTAATTAAGATGGCACGTTTAAGACACCCATAGGTAAATAATTATACAAGCCTGGACGGAATCCTTGTAAGGCCTAGGAAGTTTTCACAAATTTGCGCTCTGGAGGTACCAAGCTCGCTGGAGGCAAGCAAATAATGGTTGGGGATCAACTTCTTACAGGACACAAACTTTCCTTGTAAAGGGGCCCCAGATTTGCTCAGAGTTTCCAGGACTGCGTGGTCTCAAATTCGTCAATTTTCACTTGGAGAAGTGCAGGCACGGATTTTTCGTCCTGCCGAAAGTGCCTGAATAAATTGAGGGGTTATAAGGACTCATTCATCAGAGAGAAAAAGGAATTCACATACCTGAACGGCCGATAGTAATCTCATTTTCCAATATCTTCACAAAAATCAACAATCGGTTGATTTTCCAGGAAACTGTGTGTGTCTAGTAGACACGATCAAGCACTCTTCTGGCTAGTTAATTTTCAAGAATATGGACTCGATGGCCAGAAACAAAAAAAAAGTTTTAAGATTTTTGAAATTCTAAAAATATGGACGACCTGTTCGGTCCCAAAACAAAACAGAAAAAGGGCAAGTCAAAAGTACCCAAATTGGTTCTGTCTTTTCTTTCTCAATCTGTCAAGCCTATCAAAATCATAAAAATGACAGCGCTACAGGTGACTCGGAACAACAGAATTCTTGATGTTAGGTTAGGAAAACTAATAAGAAGAATCATAGATGTCGCTAGGTGTACGAAATAGTACTTTTAAATGAGTCCAAAATATATAAAAATAATTAAGAACAATAAATATATTTTTGTGACATTTCAAAAGTTACAATTCTTGGCTTCCGGAACACACGGGCATGAAAGACAACGAGGAGGCGGACCAGCTGGCGCATGATGATAGCAACACTGCCTTTATTGGACCAGAGCCTGAACTTGTTGTTGCTTCCTGCTTGGTGGGAACCAAGATCAGGAACTTGTTCAACAACCAGTTCCAAGACGAATCGCTGGACAAAGAGGGCTCAGACAGTCAAGGATCTTTATACAAGGTCTCTCAAACTAAACAGGAGGCAACCCATCACAGGTGTCCTGACGCGGCACTGGATGGTCAGATACCACCTGCACAAAATCGGACTTCCTAATGAGACAGAATGCAGCGAAGTAGATGAAACTACTAAGCATATACACTGCGAATGTGACGCCCTCGTCAGTCACAGACTACGATACTTCGAGTACAGATTTCTTGAACCTGATTAAATGAAACAGGTCCGACCTGAGCAGCTCTGCACCTTTCCTAAAATTTGCAGGCTCCTAAGGTAAGACAGGGCTGCACCAAGAGGGGGATAGCACAATAGGCCACGTCTCCGTGCTGCCTGTAAAAGCTCCTTTTTCAAATCAATCAATTCTCCTAACGATAATATAAAGACAGGATTGTGGTGATAATTTATGTCCTGCGGAAGAGAAACATCCAAATCTAATATTTTTGGGCATTTAGCCCTCAAACGTGTTACGTCATAGATCGATGTTAAGTGTTAACTCATCAATAATTTAAAAATCATGACGGTAAATAAAACAAAAATACCAGTTTCATTTGTTCTAGTAGCTAAGGATAAAAATGCAGGAAACTGTGATTCCTGTATTACTCCTGTAAATATTGAGAGTAGTTGACAGCTTCAGGTTATTCGACAACGGAAGCAAAAACTTTTTATTATTAACTGGTGCAAAATGTATTACAAGTTGGTTAAACAACCTAATGAATGTATAGAAAGTTTCAACTAAAAAGTTACCACTAATCCAACATCCCCTTAATTGAAGCAACTTTTAGACTAAAAGCACTACCTGAAACGTGATTTAATAACCGGACCTAGTTAAACCCCTCGTCTAAGCCTCTCGAACAAATTAGCCTAATATAATTTGGAGATACGGACTTGAGTTACAAAATAAACGTAAAACATGTTACCCGTAATTAAGATGATTTTATTATACCATGTGGCAATAAAGGGACTTTGCTAGAATTACAAAATAAGCTGGTAGGAGTTAGATGATATTTGAAAAATGCACTTACCGCTTCTGTATGTATCGGATGAACGCCAAATATTAGGCCTGCTAATGTGGCAAAAGGTGGTTTGAGACCCGCCACCTTCAAGCATACCCTTGTGAATAATAGGCACGCCAATGCGTGTAGGGCCACATTCGTTAGATGGAACGCTACTGGTGAGAGGCCGAACCATAGGTAATTAGCCCTAAAAAAAAATATAGTTTAGATATAGGAAATTGGCAAATTTACATCCAAACTTTTTTTTGGATCAGTATATAACCCATGTATACCTACTGACTATAAGGACAAATAAGCTCAAAAGTGAGAAAACATTTATTTCAAGGAAAAGATAAAGTTATACTCTATATCTGGGTGTTGGATTAATTATCAATCAATTTACAAAGGCATTGCAGTTTTCATTATCGCAATCTGTGTTTGCGATTAGTAGATAGACACGGCGGGTTCTGCACCAAAAAAAAAATAGCACGAAGTCAGCAGTCTCTACTAAAAAAGTGAAATAACAGCATATCTTTCTTAAATCATCTTTCTACTCATTATAACAAAATCATCAAATAACCAAAAAGAAATTATCTTCTCTTTGCTCCGCCAACCTCAAACTATGAAACTGTATTCTTTAAAGATGATAAATTGCCTTTGTATTTATTTTCCACCCAAAAGGCTTTCTTAAATTTTTCTTACTTGCGCCCATTCATTTTCCAGGCTGCTTTGTGCCTTTAATTTTATAGGCGAAACAAAGCAAATCGAAGCGCGGTGGCGGTGAGCAAATGTAATTTATTAAATTAATCGTTTTAGCTTAATAATAACAGGTTGTAGCTTTTAGAGAAGGTGATTTTTCATTGTTAGCCAAGGGCGTCAAGAGGTTAGGTACATTAAGGATTTAAAATTATCGGTATTGTACTTACAAATTTAGCGTGGATTTTAAACCATCCAATTTGTAAACACCTACACTTGCGTTTTTGAGTGAATTTGGAATCTCGCAAAGGTGTCTTTAATATTTTAGTAATATTTGTAATCAAATTTCCTCGCGTGTAATTTTAGTATCTACAAATTTGATCTTTGATTAATTATTATATGTTTGTATTGTCCTAATGTCCTTTCGCCTCTCCTGTGGTAGATAGCATCCTTACCGGACTAAGCAATGTCGGAATAACTGTCCTAGGCTACGCAGATAGATAGATAGATAGATAGATAGATAGATAAGATAGACCAACTTGGGCAAATAAATTATTAGGATAAAAATTTAAAGATTTTTCATATGCAAACACGCCTTCAAGACTTAGCTAGAGATTGGTATGAAGGACTCGATAACTACAAATTATCATGGGCGGACTGGAAGCGCATGCTTGTTTTGGCATTTCATGCCCATCAAGACTTTCCTACTGCGCTGAAGAATATGATAGAGCGTGAAAAGATGACCGAAGAATCGTGGACAGAATATTATTTTAGTAAAATGCAACTCCTTCACAAGTGCGAAATAAGTGGAAAAAATTCAGTGGCGATGAATATAGATGGTATCCCTGATACTACAATACAATCTGGAGCAAAAGTGGGCAGGTATCTTACACCAGAGGACCTATTTCGTGAGTACCTCTCTTCTTTATCTTCGGTGACAGTATCAGATAAGAAACGAATATAATTACCCAAAAAGCAAGAGAGCCGTTACGAACACGTGACGTAAATCAAAAACTCAAACATAAAAAGTGTTTCAATTGCAAAGATTACAGACATATGTTCAGGGACTGTCCCAAGCCTAAAAAGGAATGCTCAATTTGCAAACAGGTAGAGCATTTATCCTCAAATTGTTACCAGAACAGGCCAAGTACTTCACATAAAGCGCGTATGTGCGAAACCAAACCTGATTCAAAGTCAGACGGTTATTATGTGACTTGTGTAGTAAACGGACATAGTTTGAATAGTTTTATTGATTCCGGATGCGAGGTCGTATTAATTCGAGAATCGGATACAAAAAATGTTGGGCTTACTTGGTTCACTTGCAATGTTACTCTTAATGGATATAGAGGGGCTATTACGAAGGTTTTCGGCAATGTCAAAAGAAATCTAAGAGTAGATTTATTGGAAGTTGAAACTTCAGTCTTTAGTGTGCCGAATCAATCGCAGAATATGTCAGTTTTAATTGGTAGATCAGTATTGAATAAAAATAATGCGATAACAGTAATTCGCGAAGGAACTGTTAGACTTTTCAGCAGTGATTTTGCTGACTTACCAAAAATTGATGAACTTCCACCTAAAAAGATAGTTTTGATGACAACTGTTTCCATTAAAGTTTCCCCAAACCACTGGTGAGTTGTATGATGAAGAATGACTACCGAGGTGATATTTCTGTAGACCTATGACAACATTTTGAGCCAGGCAAAAAATATATACCCAGATGTGCGTAGATTACCGCGCTGTTAACGCAAAAACAATGAAATACTGTTATCCTTTACCAAGAGTGGACGACCATTTAGAGATTTCAAAGGAATGTAATTATTTTACGACCTTGGACGTGGCGAGCGGTTACCACCAAATACCAATGGCGGAGAACTCCCGAGAAAAAACAGCATTCGTAACTCCTGATGGTTACTACGCATATTTAAGGATGCCGTCGGATTAGTAAATGCTCTAGCGGTGTTTCAACGGAAGATTAACCAGATCCTAGGCTCCATGAGATTTTCTACTGCCTTAGCATACATGGATGTCATCTTGGTTCCTTCTCCTAGTGTTGCGTCTGGGTTACGGTTGCTCTTGGGCATGTATTTGAAACATTCCGAAATGCAGGTGTCACTTTGCGACTGTCAAAATGTAATTTCTTTAAGGAGAAAATTGATTATTTAGGACATGAGATTTGTGCTGCCGGTATCCGACCCGCTACTTCGGAGATTTTTGCAGTAGTGAAATTTCCGGTTCCAAAAAATGTGCCTCAGATTCGACAATTCATGGGTCTATTTCAGGAAATATGTGAGAGATTTTGCACGAATTGTCCTCCCTTTGACCTCCCTTACCAAAAAGGATGTACAATTTGACTAGGGTATAGAGCAGGATGGTGCTTTTGCGAAACAAGAGACCTATACTTGCCCTGTATGACTCTGGGTTCGAAACATAGGTCCACACCGATGCTTCAAATATTGGGCTTGATGGAATTTTCTTACAAAAATAGGAAGATGGCAACCTAAAGCCAGTAATTTTCTTCAGCCGACAGACTGCAAAGGAAGAAGAAAAGTATCACTCGTACAAACATGAAACATTTGCAGTGGTTTGCTCGTTACAGAGGTTCCGAGTATACATTAGGGCTATCGTTCAAAGTAATAACTGATTGTAGTGCCTTGAGAACTGCAATGTCAAAGCGTGCACTGATTCCGCGCATTGCACCATAGTGTCTTTCCATCCAAAAACTTAATTTCAATGTAGAGTATCGGCAAAGATCAAAAATGTCACATGTGGATGCATTGAGCCGAAACCCAATTGCAGAATATAAACCTCATGAAAGATCAGAAATTACTGATATTTTTCAAGTAGATATCACACAAGATGATTGAGTGTTATCAGCGCAACTGAAAGATAGCACCGAAAAAAACTCTGAAAAACATGGGTAGTATTGGTTTCCACGAATGCGAAAATCTGTGGACCGCTATATTTCTGCTCGTCTACAATGTGCATACAACAAAGCACCTACAGGTAAACAAGAGGGATTTCTCCATAAAATAGAAAAGGTACCAATCCCAATGCATACTCTTCACATTGATCACGTTGGACCGTTTGTGACGAGCACGAGGAAAAATGCATACTTGATAGTAGCAGTAGATGCATTCACGAAGTTTCTTCATGCCAACCCAGTTCCGTACCAAAACGAAACCAGTGATAAACTTTTTAGAGACAATTTTTCTGACTTTCGGTACTCCTAGACGCATCATTTGTGACAGAGGATCTTGTTTTTCCTTTATCAGCTTTAACAAGGAGCTAGGAATCAAACTGGTATTTAAAGCAACAGCCACTCCACGTGCCAACGGGCAAATGGAAAAATATAACAGCACTTTGTTGAAGGCCATTGCAACATCTTACGCAGATCAAAGAAAGTGGGACGAGTCAATTAACAGGTCGATTCTGTGCACATCTGTAAGCAAATCTATAAATTTCTGTAAGCCTATAGCTGCCTATAGACAATTTGCAATTCTGCACTTCTTGTAGCTTACAGAATATCTTATAGAATCCTAAATATTGCTGATTGGGTGTTTGCAAATCGATGCGTTTTGCAGTGTATATGGGCTTATAGAAAGTTATAGATTTCCTTACAGATGTGCACAGAATTGACCCGTAAGTCTATTATTTTTGGAATTAATTCTGCAGTAAACAGTTCTTCCAGGAAGGGTCCCTGTGAACTGCTTTTTGGATACAGACCAAGAGCATTGGATGATTTATTTCTGAGTACAGCTGTCACAGAGGACGCTGTTGAAAATGACATGACACAATCCAGGCAGGAAGCTGCTTCAAAGAGGTTCTAGATCATGATCGTTATATTGTAGAGGACCTGGCAGGGTCAAATCGTGCACGTAAGAGATATGAAGGTGTCAGTTCAGCTAACTGTATGAAGCCGTTTAATGCCGCATTTCAGAGGAGTAGTGAGACGGATTCAGACTAAGAAATCTCAGAGAAGAAATCGCTAGAGGACGAATTCTTAGAGAATAATGTCTCAGAGAAAGATTCTTTGACTACTTGAGAAAGTTTTTAGAGTAGATGTAACTAATTTGTTGGTTACTGAAGAATTTGTTTTTTTTTATGATGATTGGCGAGTGTTGTGGATTTTTGGCCATTCTTCGCATCGCTTAATCCATGGTTCCATGGTTATAAAGAGTAATAATAGTATATTACATGCAGAGGTGTTTCATTATTGTCGAAAGATACTATGGGCCAACCAATTCTCGAGACTGACACTCTGACACCGGCCGTTATTGACATCTTATGAAATTTGAACAATATAAACACATGTGACATCTACTTTTGAATACAAACATTGCACCTGGATTTGTGTTTAGGTGTGAAAGAAAAATTCATCAGGCCGAAAGTGACAGGAGAATTGTCACTTTCGGCCCGCTTTTAAGTAAACAAAAGTAAAGTGACATTTTCCAACCTTCAAACCAGTAATGCTCGTATTACATCTGTGTATTTTTCCGTGTATTTATTCATGAA